CCACCAGCCCCTAGTGCAGGGTTATCACAGCTCACCACAGCCTATGAGACATGGAGCCAGCCTAGCTCCTGCCTCCGGTGGCATTCCTACAGCACCTGGCCCAAAGGTGGCCTGCTCTCAGGTGAGGTGCTTGGGAGCCATCTTGAGTCTTCCTTCATAACACACAGTGGAGATGGCCCAGGAGCCCAAGCAGAGCCTTTCTCTGAGGTGCTCTCTCCTTGCTTCCCTACCGGGAGGCTGACAGGCTCAATTCGCAAACTAAATCCTTGTTAAGTAGTAACAAGGAGTCAAAGCAGCTATCAGGCGTCAAATTGGAAAGAGGGAAGGCGTTTCCAACCTAAAGCACGCCTTTCCCGTTGCTAGTGGAGTTTTCTATCTGGGACACCTTTTCCTCCCTTTTCAGGTGGCTCCACAGTTTGAGTCCCACAGAATAACTGAAGCAGGCACAAGGAAACCCATTTGTGCTGGGCACACAGCAGAGAACCCGGCCGGGCCCCATGCGTCCTCACATCACCCCAGGACAAGGCACATGTGAGTCAGGTGTGACAGATGAGCTCAGGACTGGCAGGACAAGGGAAAGTCAAACTCCTGAAGCTGAATACCTTCAAAGTGTGATCCTCACCCACATGTAGCCTCTCCAGGGAGGGCAAGACTCCCCTCCAACAATGTGCCACAGCCATTCTCTTCACAGGGGGGTGCAGCTCAGCCATATCTTCTCTGGAGGGTACATGTGAAGGGCTGGACTGCTTCCAGATGCCTACTTCAGAGCAGGCTTGGACAACCTCTCGCTGTGCTGCTATCCCATTGCGGCTGCAGTGCATGTATTACATGGTGCAAGGCTACTGCCTGGGCCCTGCAGCAGCCACAAACAAGTGTATCCCTTCAGCAGGTGCAGTTGTCCCAGCTGAAAAGTGTCACCCCACCAGGCACAGCCACTGTCTCATGGAGTAAGCTAGCCCTCGGAAGCAGGAGGAGAGAGGACTGCAGGTCTTGTTTTCCTTCACATCCCAGAAGCAGCCAGCTCAGCTCACCATCAGCAGGCAGAACTTGACATTTGTGGCCCACTACATCTAACAGACTTGGGATCTCTTCTGCTGAGATACAACATCCAGAACAGTCTCTTCAGCTCAGAACATGGCAGCACCACTGACATGCTGGTTTCAATCTTTTTGATTTGCTGGCATGTAAACCCTTCCAAGCTCATATAGAGCCAATGCAGGTGTATTGTTTATAGACTAGACTTCCTGTCTTTGTTGCCTTGCACAGCCATCTGTGAAACAGCCAATAGATCCTTGCAAGCCAAAAGTCAGTGGTGAATATGCTTGACAAGAAACTCCTTGGGTTCTTCACACAGCAGCATCCACAAATGGGCCTGCTCACCTTCACACCTCTCACCAGTGCATTCTACAAGATGTTACCGAACGAGATGAAGCAGAATCTCTTCAATTACTTGTCCACTTTTCTCTGTTGTCTGCAGAGTTCAAAACTGCAGATCCGCCTCTTGAGCTGCCCACACTGCACTAAATAAAAACTGGATCCTTTGCCTTGACAAGAGCAGGACTGAGGCAGCCAGGAACTCAGAGGTCTGCATTAACCCGGTTGAGTCATCTCCATTATCCAGGAAGATCCTGTATGTTCCTTTCTGACATGGCCAGATGACCAACAGCCTGTGACACACTCACCCCATGGCTGATGAGGAAATGACATTGCTTCCAAGCAGCTTTTCCTCTCAAACGCCCCAGAGCACATCACAGATGTCACAACAGTACCTCACAAAAGGCTGAGTACAGTTAGAGATGAACAGTTCTTCATTCCATATCATCCAGGATGGTGAGGTCTTGCTGAGCCGTCACTGGGAGCCGGTTACACAGCTCCAACAGCGAACACCAAGTCCATTACCAGCAAAGGGCAGGCTCAGAGCATTACTTTTCATCTTGGACTGTAAGATCCACCAAGCTCATGGGCACTCGTACTTCTACAGTACCCAGCACGACGGGGATTGACTCCTGGTAAGACTAGAGGCAAGGCTGCGACCAGCACCACATTCCTTGGTATGAGAGGCTGGAAATGAACCCGGGAGTCCTGCCCCCTCATTCCTGCCCATCAGACCACCCTCTTCTCACTGAGCTGGGAACTTCATAACAGTATTTTGGCGCCTACCTCCCACTGATTTCAAGGGGCTTTAGGTACCTAGATGCTTTTGGAGGCTCTGGGCCCAAATCCACGAGTCCAACTGGCAGGTTGCTGGTGCCCTGGAGCCTCCAGAGGCAAAGCTGGAGGGTCCGCTATGCAATGGAAGAAAATCAGGGTGCAAGGTAGAAGGAGAAGGCAAAGGAAATCAAAGTCAGAATTAAATTCTTTAATACAAAAAAAAAGTTTGTTTGTCGTCGTCGTCGTCGGTTTTTTAAGATATATCTGTAATTTCTTTGTTTAAAAATAAATATGTACTAAGGAATATCTTGAAAAAACTCACTAGACACAATATGTAGTGTTAATATCTTTTTTCCCCGCAATTATTACAGATAAACAGTAGCACCAATAAATAAAATGATAACAAATATTAAAATTAAAAAGGAGAGAGATTCAAGATGTAGAATTTTCTATTTTTCCTGTCTCTTCTTTTTACATATATAAAAAAATCGTAGCGTCTATTTCATCCGAATCACACATATACATAAACATATATATATATATACAAACACATAGCCAAATATATATATAGTATGTAGATGTATATCTAACCCTTGTCTCAATAGGAATGTGTAGGGGTAGGTGTTAGAGAAATTAATTAAATAACTGCCCATAACATGCTACTGACTCTGCCAACAATTGGGGAGAGATGGGATGGGACAACAGGAAAGTTAAATTTATACACAACCAGTACAAATAAAAAAAAAAAAAAAAAAAAAAAAAAAAAAAAAAAAAAAAAAAAGAAAAAAAAAAAAAAAAAAAGAGGTACGGCTTATAAATAGTTCAAATTAAATATTAACAAAGAATACTGAAAAATCCCTACTCTTTAATTAAATTATCTGTTTAATTTCTAATTTAAAAAGGGATATTAAATAAGTATATAAAACACTTTCTCTTCCCTCCCCCCCATCGGAAGCCTCTGTCTTGCGCACGATGCAGCATGAGTATTATACATTGCAGATGCAAGCACCCACCCGTGTGTTCTCCTGAAAGTCATCACTCAGATGGGGAGTTCCTAGTGGTTAGTAGTCACTTGCTGTGAGTCTGTTTTTAGACTGTCTTGTCTTTTTTGGAAGCTTTCCGTGTTGTACATTATCAGGCGTTGAAAATTCAATTGCAGATGATGTTTGGCAGATTTCTGACACAGACCGAGTACCTTTTTGATTATTATTATTATTATTAATAATTTTAATCACAGAACTAGATTATATATATCCACATAGATGTACAAACACGCTTTCAGGGGTGTGTGTGTGTGTGCGCGTGTGTAAGGTGGGTTCCACATACACCGCAGAGTATATTGCAGATACACACATAGCCAAGATTTTCAGACATGCCTTAGGGATTCCGGCTGCCTTCACATTTGATTCCCAGACCAAGAGGTGGAAAAGGAGCCTGGTCTTTACACTACGTCATCAAGAAAACCTTGACGTTCCCAACGGTCACTCATACTGGACGTGCAAACGGAAGGCAGCAAAAATTGCTTTCTTTGTCCCCCCTTCCATCTTGGCATACATATATATTATTTTTTATATATATATATGTATAAAAATAAATATATATATATAAAAAAAGAGAGAAAAACACAAACATACACGCACACAGACACAAATGCACACATTCACCTACACACACACACACCCCTACTGTGTATATACTTTTGATTAATATCCCTTTCCAGAAATGTTCCGTAAGCATCTTGGATGCTCTTGAGTGGCAGCTCTGTGCATGAAGAAAGCAGACAGTGCTGAACAATTGTGTGGCTAGGCACCGGTCCCCATTCTTGCTTCATCACACTGCAGGCCTTGTGTCCTTTTGCAGCCACCAAGGGCGGGAAATCTAGACTCCTGTGATACTTTCTTGAAGGGAAAGTTAGTGCGCATCAGCTGCCCACCATCCTTAAGAGAAGCCAGCACGTCTCTCTGGCAAAGTTTCTATAGCGAATAAAGTCAACGCAAAATGTACACTGACATCCCATGTCCCAGCAAGGCAGGCAGGTTATGAGACGAGTAAGGGCGAATGTTGGGGGAAGAGAGGGGAGGAGGAATCCTTGATCACGCAGACGGCCATTTCCTTGGCCTTTGACCCATCGCACCCTAGGATGCCGCTCTTTGGAACTCCCTGCCCATCCTCTCCGTCACCTCTCCTCCCTGTCCCAGGCAAGGAGAAGGTGGTTTGTGGTACAGCACACTCTACAGAGAAACAGCGGAGGCCGCACAGGTCAGTTAGAGTTAAGAAGTTTACACCCAGCGCTTCTACTCAAGTCCAGTCTTAGCTTGTTTCTTATGCCCCAAGTAGCCCGCTTGTGTCCACAGCAGTCGAGTATTATCCAGTGAAGACACCAATAACATTAGCAATGTTAAAAAAAATAATCAGTATATATATATATATATATATATTATATATATATGTGTGTGTGTGTGTGTGTGGTTAAGATATACATATATGTATATATAGATGTGGTTAAAATATATATACATATATATATATGTATATGCATGTATACACACATATATATGTATGCATGGGAAAACCCATCAAATACACCCCTATAGTCTTCCTGGCTCTGTTATTTAGCAGCATGAAACAAAAAAAAAAATAAAATAAAACAGTTCAAAACCCAAAGGTGAATTCTGTGCGGCGGGTGCCTTGGGGAATGTTCCTTCCGGAGTCCATCGTCCGTACTGAAAGTGCTGTGCTCTACCGATCCTTCATTTTTAGGGTTCATTTGGATTAGTGTTTTGTTTTGTATTTTTCTGTCCAGGCGAGAAATCAGGCTCCAGAAACAGGGCTGTTCCCCCTTCTTTTCCGCTGCTCACCGTCTCGGTTTTTCACATCTGTCAGAGAGGAGAGGCAAGGAAAGAAAAAGAGAAGAGGTTAATGTTTGTGGCAGGGGAGCAGGTGGGGCAAGGGAGGGGAGGAAGGGAAGTGGCTGATGTTTTTAAGAGCACATGGTGTTAAGACATGGCATGACGTCACTGGTGGGGTGAAGTGCTGTGTAGTTGGGCAGAGCAGCAGAGTCTCGACCCGTGAATGGGTCGATGAATTCTATTCCCCCAGGCTCACCTAGATGTGGGGAAGCACTGGTACAGGGGGAAATTTAGGAGTAGGATCAGAGGTCTCCTCATTCACAAGCTGAGTTGAGTGCCTTGTTTGCACCCTCTCACAACATGCACACATAGATACACGCATACACACAAGAACAAAGCCAAGCAATGCATGCAGAGAGACACACTCCCCCAGCTCCCCACCTAGCCTGTTATTATATAGGGTTGGAAGCAATACAGACAACAAAGCCTCATGCAGGCAAGAATTTTGCTGAAAAGAAAGTGCATCTCGTTTCAGTGGCTGCCATGAGCAGAGGTTAGCGCCAGAGGACAGCAGCAGAAGCAGCCTGAAAAAGCAGTGGGAGAAACGAAAAATTGCCCTCCCTTCTAGAACCCAATTCTAACTTCACAAGGAGATGAAGCAAGAGGAACTTCAGCTTAACCAGCTTTTTGTCTGGAAACAGATAACATACCCATTCTTAGGACTCCTTGCTATCTTTCTGGCCAACACACCAGCTCTGGAAACCTCCCTTAGTGCCAGTCATATCACCAAAAGGAGGGACTAGTAAAAGACACAAGTAAATCCCTTCTGCCATCACAACTTATTTGGGGTATTGTTTGTTTTTCTTTGTACTTTGTACTATTTCTCACTCTTCAAACTCTGCAAGGTAATTTCCAGTTACTCTGGGGATAGGATGCAAGACCAGGTGGAAAATAACAAGGTAAGGTCTGGTCTCACTCTCTGGGAGCTATAATCACTGGCAGGAGGGTAACTCTCTAAGCTGCTGTAGTGTGGCCCCTCCATCAATTATTTTCCCCCTCAGACTGCAGCACCCCAGAAAACTTCTCTGTATGCAAAACAGTTTTAACTGCTCTGGCATTGCTAGATGTCTCCCTGGCTTTGGCACAAAGCACTTGCACATCTATTGGAGGCACACGCTGCCTGAAGCAGCCCTAGTCACCTAGCCAATTCCAGGCAGGCAAATGGATGCCTTCTCCATCAGGATGTAGCCAACAAAGGACCATGGATCTCTCTCCTTTATCTTTTATCATCCAGTCACTGCTCCTGCAATATTCTCCTGACAAGAAGAAGCTCCTAGACTTCTGTGAACTCAGTTTGGAGTCACAATCAAGGGCTCATTAGCAGCTCCATCTTTATGCCACTCTCTGTAATAGGTAGGATAATCACACACCAGAGATGCACACATAGGTAGAGTGAGCCAAGAGATCCTGCTGAGCTCACCAAAGAGCTCAGGTGAGAACCAGGAATCAATTTCTGCACATCCATGTTACAGACAGGAGCATGACAGGTAATACTCAGGCAATACACACACACTGTGGATCTCTGAGTAGACAGTAACCACACAGTGTCTTTCCATCTCCCAGCTCGCACGTCTGAAATACAGACTTCTGCATGCCTCCACCTACAACAGGCTTATCCTTGCTGTATCCCACACCACAGCCCTGAATGCGGCCCCTCACCCCTCAAACCACAACTCTGGCTAAGACATGAAAAGAAGAACTTGTGAGTGCAGGGAAGAGGACAAGGTCCTCTCCCTGGCTTTTAAGAATAAAAAGGCAAATGAGAGTGTGGCCTGGCCTTTCTCACTCTGCACACAACAGAGCACCCACAAGCCACACAGAAAGAGCTTGGAAGACAGGGGAGGTGAAATCTTAGCCAGCTAAGAAGGATTTGGCTTTGTACGACAGTAGCCTCAGAATTGCATACAAATAATGTACAGAAGGCTACAGACCCTCCCCATAGCTACTGCAGCAATACAAACTCTTATTTTGTTCTGGGGGAAAGGAAATCTTAGGTATGAACACCCATCCCCATCCAAGTCCTGACAGCATATCAGAAACGCACAACCGCCCCCTGACACGGAGAATCTCTGTCCTCCTCTCAGTCCTCCCTCTGCCCTCTGGCCCATGTAGGACAGAGAAAAGAAGTGATCACATAGCACTGGTGCCAGAAGTCAGCAGGAAGCAAGCTCCCCCCTCTTTCTTTCTCTCTCTTTCTCTCTGTGTGTTTCTCTTTCATCCTTCAGGACACAAACCTGCAAGTGCGCTCGTTTAACTCAAGCTGCCTCGACTTGCAACGTGAGTCTGTGAATTTGCAGGAACATTTACAGGTCTGGGGATCTTGTACAAACAAGTGCTTTCTCCTCTCTGAGCAAGGCTCACAGTGACTGCAAAAAGGCAAAAGGAAAGATGTCTAAGCTACAGCGCTTCAGCAGAAAGAAAATACACATGCAACACCCTAAACATCAAAGCAATCCCCTTGCCCCCTCCCGCAGCCCCCATGCTGCCCACTGGAGTGTCAAGGGCTGATGGGTTTCCAGCAGCACCCCAGCAGCCCCAGGACATGGTCAGGACAGCATCCCCTTGCATTAGCGTAAAGAGAAAGAAAACAGGCTCTCTGCACAGTATTCACAAATGCTGCATTGAATCCTTTGGCATACACCACAGGGAGGAAGAAGGGAGAAGCAAGGATGGGAAGGTGAGAAGTCCCAACCAGCTACTGAGGAGTCAATGAGAGGCATTCTCTGAAGTGGGCTGTTGGAGTAGAAAGAAGCCAGAGGCTGAACGAGATAAATACGCAGGGTCTGTCCCTGCTGGAAAGCAACTGGGCTCCAGCACTGTGCGCTTACACCTGCAGTCTGCACTGCCCTCCTTTCCGTGAGCCCCATCTCCACCTTGCCACCTAGGAGCCTGCCCTGAAGGACTGTGAATTTACAATGCAGAATTTTGTGAACCACTGTGAGAGAGAGCGAAAGAGACGGAGACAGGTAGAAAGAGGCAAGGAGAGAGAAGCCACCAAATCCAGCAGAGAGAGAGACAGAGAGCCCCCCCCAAGTTCCCCGGCACCCCCTCTCCAGCTTCCCACCGTCCCACCTCTCCTCTCCGCTTGTGACTCCACCAGACACACACACACACACACACGCGCACACACGCACACACACACACATGCACGGCAGGCACCAGCTCGTCTTCCACCAGCTGTCGCAGCGAGGGCACAAGGCAAGTGGAGGACAGCGCGGGACAGAGCTATAACCAAAGGAGTGGCAAAGAGGCGTGGGGCACCTGCCCGCGCTTCTTTGCCCAGGGGAAATGGTCACCGGTGATGATTAGAGAGAGCCGAGCAAGCCAAAGCCACCTTCCCTGAGACACCCTTAGTGCCAGAGCGGTGCCACCGCCAGCATTGCAGGACCTGCAGCCCACCAGTGACTGGGGGGGAGGGTGTGATTCTGAGTGAGCAGCAAGCAGGCGGATTGGTTGGGGAAAGGGAGGGAAGAGAGTCTACAAGCAGAGGACACAAACGTACAAGCTGGGTGGTTTGTACCGGCCTTTCTTGCGCTTTCTCTTTTGACCCTTCCCCTTTCCTCGCTTTGATTTTCTGGAAGAAAAACAAAACAAAAAAAAACAGAGAAAGAGAGAGAGAGCAGGAAAGAGAGAGGGAGAGCAAGAGAGAAAACAGAAGAAAACGCAAGGAAGAAGAGAGAAAAAACACAGCCATGTGCCTTGCTGGGAGGGGAAAGCACATGAGGCAGGATTGGAGGGCAAGTCCTGGAGTGAAGCACAGACCTCCACCTCGCACACACACTCACTGGCCCTCTTGCAGCACCGCCACCAGCCTGCCCGCAGCCAAGCCAGCGCCAGGAACACAGCGTGCAGAGGCCACCTCCACATGAGGCTCCGGCATCCACGGGCCTCTGAGGGTACCCGCACCCCTGGAAAGGGGCAGTGGAGAGGGGAAGGGATCAGGAAGCCTGGTGAAAGCATCACACAACTGCAGTGAGCGCAGACAACCAGCTCTGGTGACAAGCTCAGGTTTACGCTGGCTGACATGGAGAAAAAGAGACCACCGTGATCTGATGGTGAGGAAGGGACACCCAGCAGCCCCACTGTAGGGATGGCAATCATCCTGCCATGGGATGGGAGCGATGGGGCCCTGGGCTCAGTACGCTGGGGACAAGGATTGAGGCCTGTTCTGAGCAGTTCTGCTGCATGGGAGCAGAGGACTGCCGCCTGAAAGCTCTGCTCACCCACCCTACCAGTGCCTGTGGCTCGGTGGACTCAGGAAGACCTCACTTTCTGCTCACGCACCCTCCAGCATCCTCTGTGATGAGCAACAGAGGATGAACAGGAAGGTCTGGCCCAGTCGGGACACCCAGGAGATGAAAACTGCAAGCAGCTTTCAGATTTTCCTTTCTTTCCTCCTCCATCCAGCCCTTCCCTTTGCTTTCCACATAGATCTGACAGACAGACAAACGGACGGAGCCAAAGCACTCTCTTCAAGATTCACCTGCTGCTTCTGATTTTTGAGCAGGAGCTGAGACAGGCAAGGGCTGGAACATGCAGGCATGGACAGTTATCATGGATCTCTGCAGCCCACTGAGAGCACAGAGAAGGGGAGGCTGGAGCCTGCATTGCTCCTCGAGCTGTATCAGCATAGCAACAAAGGACAGGCATGTGAGAAGGCCGTGGGACAAGCACCAGGGTTTGTCAGACTTGTGAGCCCCACAGCAGCTCAGCAGCCTCCCTCCTTCCCCACTTTGCCTGGGGGCAGCACATCCTGGGAGGGAGCTGTTGAGGTGGAGCAGGGGGACAGAAAGGAACACCACAGGTGTTTCTTAGCCTGCTCCAGTCTTCTTGATGGAATGTGTATCAGAGCATCAGCTCACTCCCAGCTGCTGCCCTACATGTCAGGAGGCACAGGGAGGTGGTGAGGAAGAAGAAAATCAATCTGAAGATGGAGATATATAACGGGACTTTCAAATCAGAACAAATCAAAGCATACCGATCTCTCCCATCCCTTCCCTTCCTTCCCCAGGGAGTGCAGAACCAGCAAAGAGCAGGCAAGGTGCTGTTAGAAGAGGAAAGGGAATGCAACGCAGTCTGGGCTGGCTGCTTCACCCACACCCCATCCTCACCAGAGCTCACACAGACCCAACTTGCACACCTTCAAACCACAGAGCCACGCAGATGACCATCCCCAACACGGTCCTGCACAGAGGGGAGCTTTGGCTGCACAGAGCCTGATGCAGCCACGAGCAGTTTTCCAGGGGAAAGAAGAGGGACTGGAAGGCAGCTAGAAATCCACAACCACCAGGAAAGGGGTGAAAGACGTTCTCTCTCACTCTTCCACTTGCTCTCTGTTTCAGCCTCATCTCCCAGTATTTACCCCTTTCCTCTCCAACTCCGCACCTCTATATGGCAGAGTCACTATCCCAGCCATGCGCAGTCCGGCTGACCCTCTTGTCCAGAGAGGTCACTTTTTGTCCATGTTGTTCCACGTTTTGTGATCGTCCCTGCAACTACTGCAGGACGAGAGCTTTTTTTTATCTCCTTTCCACAACCTTTTTACTTTGGGAAGGAAGGAAAGGGAAGGTTGTGCCTTAACCTTCTTCAGGTCACCAGAGCAAATCCATCAGCTCAAGAAAACTCTCTTGAAAGCCTCCACCAGGACCTCCACATCCTTTACATCCTCCCAGGCCCCCACCCAACCAAAACCAGCATCACATCGTGCATGGCATCAGTCCTGCCTCCACCAAGCCTCCACTGCCACCTCTCCCTGTAGCCAGCAGAGCTCCAACCCAAGCTGCTGTGAAAGAAGCGAGCAAGTTCTCACTCAAGCAGCAAGAAAAAAAATTAATAATGAAGAAAGGCAGCGATATGCAGTAACCAGAAACACCCCAGGAGGAGGCAAGGGAGAATGGGGGCTGCACCTTGAATCCATTCTGGTAGGACACACACGACGGGACTTCCCTGACTCAGGGTAAAGCATTAGGAATGACTGCCATGGCTGTGGGTCATGCAAGCTCCAGGTCTGGGGTAGGTAGGAAGGACCATCAGATCTGGGTTTCTGTGCCCACCTGGAACGGATTCAGAGTGTTGCCCCATGCACTACCATATGCCATTTCCAAAAACACCTTCTCAAAGTGAGTATCTTCAACCAATCAAGGAAAAGGGCAGGGGGCGGTAGGGAGAAGAAATGCCAACCAACCACCAAAAGAGAAGGGAGAAAAACCTTGTCACTTACTTTTCTTGTTTATTTTTGACATCTTTCTTTGGTCTGTGAGGGAAGAGAGAACAAAGGCATCATTAAAAGGGAGCTTATCACATACGCTTCCAGTATTATCTCCAAATCCCACAAGTCCAGGGAAGGACATGTACAGCTGCCCTCCTGTTGCACCTCACCAAGGCCGGAAGACCCCAGGCTGCAGGCTAGTATTGTCCACCTGTCATATCTAGACATGGAGGTGCCTCATGAGCAAAGCAGCTCTTTTCCAGGCTCTGTCATCCCACTGAAAACCAACTGTGGAGACAACGGTCTCAACACAATGGCAGAAAAATAGAAAAGGCTCAGAATAAGTTAATTGCAAGAGGAACCAGTGCTGCTCCATTCTCACCTGCAGTCACATTTACTGTGCTGTAAGAAGCTCATGTGCGCTATGTGCTGACTCTGATGGGGTTTAATTCTCGCGATCTGGAATGAAAGAAACAGAGAGGGTCACTGCCCATTCACTATTTGTATTCATGACTCCAAATCAGTCCACTGCCTAGCAAAAGCATTTTGTACTCCAGGTGCTCCTGGGAAAAGCATGGCAGAGTTTGAGCTAGCTTTGAGGCCCTGTTCTCTCAGTCAGGGAAGGCCTTTGATCACAAGCAAGCGGCAACACCAGTCTCGTGCCAAAGCTCTGTTTGCTCATGCATGCAAGGTGCCAGTACTGGTGGACTGCCTTGGAGACAGGCATGGGAGAGGGCGTAACACCACAGTAAGAGTCTCGCTGAGCAGTCAGCCCTGGTCAATACTAGAAAGACAGTGATGGAGCATCCAGACTGCTCTCAGACAGAGGCAGGCTTCAGCCTAAAGCAAAGTCCCAAAGTAAAAGCTCCGTATCCAACTAATTTTCCCTAAGCCACCACTCATTCCTGGCTGGCATCTCGTTTTCTCTCTGAGACGACACAAAGAATACATCTGGTGCTCTGTGCTTAAAACACCCCTGCAGAGCCAGACTTTGCCTAGCCCCCAGCTCAATGTGCCTCCAGGGAAGCTGCATTAGAAACTCTGCATGTACTGTCACAGCCTCTCAACCCAGAACCTGGCTGGACCACTAGCTCTAGCATTAGCCACTGAAATGCCTGTGACCCTTTACAAGCATGTGGGCATGCCAGTTGAAACCTGTAATTCAGCACGGAAAGGTAAGAAAACCACCCTTAGTTACACTGTGCTAGTAGGCTCTGACCCAAGCAGGAGCTTGCAAGTGGAAAACCAATACAGGGGAACCACAGAAGGACACAGACAGATTCTCTCCTGAAGTTCAAACATAGCTGAGGTCACAAGTGAAAAGCACTGGCTAGTAATCATATAGTCCTGCAAGTCTCTCATCCATTTAAAAAACTGATGGCAATATTTACAGGGCCCATTCAAGAGGGTGAAAGACATGTGGGAGCTACAAGTCAAGTACTTGGTGCGAGCACCATGCTGTATACAAGCTGGGACCCAGGCTGGCAAAGGCAGTGACAAAGCTCTCTAAGCAGAGTCTCTAAGCCTTCCCCATGTGCCCAGACTTCACTATCACAGTCAGTCTGTCTCTTCCAAGAAATGAATTAGGCAGCCTCCAAATAAAGGAGGAGTACGCCTAGAGGCAGAAAGGCTTTTCCACTTGACACTGAAGCAGAGTGTTTCTTAGAGACCCTTCCCACCCCTGCTGTGCCAATGTAGCTAATGACCCAAATCCTCTGCTCTGTTGGTAAAGGCTGACCTCGCATGCCCTCCGGGAGGGAGTACTGGCAGGCTTTCCCCTTCTGCACTACACTGCAGCCTTGAAAGCAACAGCTGTGTGGACCAAATGCGGAGTTAAGGTAGAGCAAGGGCCTGGGGAGCATCTTTTTTAGGGCCTCAGAGCTAACAGCATCAGCAATGGGCCTTTGCGTTCTCTAAGGTAAGTGCCTCCTTTGCATAGTCCTAGCTTCTGTATTTGAGCACCAATGAGCATCAGAGCCACTGAAGAACAGATTCTCTTTTTAGCTTTGCATATAGACAGGAAGCTCACTTTTCACCCTTGTGCGGTGTAATGCTGGATGCGAGGATCAGGAAAGAGGTAAGCCCTCTTGATCTGACAATTTCCAGTTCCCTAGGGTAGGCTGCTCTATGAGTGGCTGTGATGGGTGACTTGCTTACTCCACCCAAGCATGCCAGCTTGCAGGTTGGGCCCTCACCTCCATCGTGACGTTGTACACATCCACAGGGACACATTCTAGGCCCTCATCGCCGCAGCAACCCGCACATCTCATCAGAGGCACACAGGATGGCCTGAATATGTACTCCACCTCATCAGGGTACTCCTGGAAAATGTCCACCAGGGTCTCAATTGTCCTGCAGAAGCTGCGCTCGTAGACTTCCAGGAATTTGATAACTACAGGGAGGAATGGAGGGAATAAGTTAATGCAAACTCAGCTCAAGAATGTCTAGTTCTTTACCCCTTAAAAGCCAGACAGTTGTAACACATCTACCCTATACTCTTCACTAACAGCCTAAGTCCTTTCTTTGTCTCTGCCCTACACACACACACACACACACACATACCCTCCCACCCACACCCCAAACGAAGTGGGGAAGAGGAGACAGCCTCTCCCTGACACTGCTTTAGGGCACAGACACGATGGACCAGAGAGCTTTACTGATTGGATTGGCTCTCCCTGACACCATGCATCCAAGGTGCCTCCTCCCCTGCCATCCCCGATACATTCAGATATGCTGCCACCAAACATATCAGCTCAGCTGAAAAGCATCAGAAGCTGCTGCATATGATCTGCACTCTGGATTAAGAACCCTCACTGGTTCATCTTTTACCCCCTTTCAAAACAGCCAGTCGATGCCTCAGCGGGTTTTAGAAGGCAGGGGTATGTAAGCCAGAAAAAGAAGCATCCCTCTCACAGACCCTTGCACAGAGAATGAAGAGATGGTTCTGAACAATGCATCTATGTGGCTTCTTTCTTCCCAACAGACACCTCTTTTGCCCATGCGTAACATCCACCTCAAGAGGCCACCTTCAGAATCACCTGCCGCAGGCAGGCAGGTCACAGCCCCCGTGTCTCTACATCAACCGCTTTCTCAAAACAAGGAACTGAACCACCCACTGGGAGATTCAAAGCAAGACCACAGCACCCCCAGGATTAACTAGACCACATACTCGGCTACCGAACCACAGTAAGGCCACGTGGGAGGGGAAACGGGGTGGATCTGCCATTATCCCCTGCCTTTCCTCTGAATGGAGCAAACACTGACTGCTTGCGATCTGCACCGATTTCACAAGCGTTTCTCAATGTTTCCCAGTGTCTTGCCAAAGCTTCGTCTTGCTGCTTGGTCAAGGGTTGGAGAGATTTAAAGAGATGAGAGATAGGAGAGATAAGCACACACGCACAAAACCCAGCTGCTAGCACACTCCTGCAAACAGCGGGTACCTGGAGCCCCCCAGGCCTCCTAGCTCTAGCAGCATGCAGGCAAAGGAACATGGCTCAAACGGTGCAGAGGAGAAGAGTACGCACAAAGAGGGAGTACCTGCCCCATGGTGTTACGCACTATAATGATCCACCTGTACAGCATACAGAGTCCTACAGCACCAGCATTGATAACTGAGTGATAAGCGCAAGTGCTTGCATCATGGAAAAAAAATGGTCTCCGGTAAGCATTTCTAAAGCGCCCTAAACTGGCATAAAGGTTACTTTGCCACACACACACACACAAAAAAAAAAAAAAGCAAAAGCTGTAGGGCTTGGAGCTCAGAGCCCACAGTTAATTGTTGAAAGTTAATTCGAGGTCATGCAGAGCTGACAGTGCCACAGTGCTGAGAGCGGGTACAAGAAGGGAGGAGCTCCCATCCAGAGAGTCTGAAGTGTCAGCGAGCATGAGCTACTATTAAAAGAGAAAGTGGCTTATGAAAAGAAAATGTAGCCTGGCAGGCACAGATTGCTTGCTGGTATTCCTAGCCTAAAAGACAGCATGCTTCTGTTCCCTGTCCTTCCCTCCCTCTTCCTTCTTCCCCTGACTGCAGTGTGCCTCTTGTCCGTCCGTCCTCCTTCCATCGAGTCCACGCTACCTCCTTCCTGCTCCCCTTCAAAGTGACCCTACTCACTGCCTATGTTCCAACAAGTTGAACAATTTAATATGTGGGAAATTCTGCGGGCACAATGACAGCTACTGAACTGCACTGCTGATTATTCACACTGTGCCAGCAGAAAGGATCTGGGAACCCTGGCAATAAAGGCACAGCTCTGGATAGAAATGCTTGTGGACTGACAGCATGGGGAAGGAGGAGAGCAAGGAGGGAGGGGAAGCAAAGGTTACCTGTGCAGATCAAAGGCTGCTCGCTGAATTTGGCTGAGATATAAAGAGGCAGAAACCAAAACCAAGAATAAAACTAAAGTGAAACTGATTCAGGTCTGCTATGCTCTCTGAATGTTTACACTGCGCAAGCAGCTGGATTATACCATCGAAACTGCACTATAGATTGGCCACAGGAAAAAAAAACAACACATCTGAATTTTTCTGCAGAGTTTTTTAGTTTCTTGGCTGCACCCTGCTAGCTGCACTTGAGATCTGGGAGATCGAACAGGACCAATTGCCTCCCATGAACAACGCAGAGTTTTCGCTTTTACATTAATGCACACTGATCTTCCAAAGCTGCAATCAGCCTCTGGATAGGAAGCGGGGACTCCTTCTCCAGCTGCCTGTCAGATCTCCTGCCGCCAAAGGTGCACTGCCCTGATCCTGCTGCACACAGAGCATTCACACGGAGACTGCAACGCTTCACAGTCCATTTGCACAGCTACAGCAGAGCACATGACTGAGGTACAGTCATCTCTCAAAGCCCTGCCCCTGCTACGCTTACTCCTATGCACCGGGAGTCATATTCCACACTTTGCCGGGCTGATTCAGTCCATGCCTCCTTTCCATTGGTCGTGTTGGGAACGGAAGGACGTCTGTTTTTGATGGGAAGAAATGGGAAGGTCACTGAAGGACTAATGCCGTTTGTTCTGCTCCCCTCCTGCAATTTGGGCCTCAGCCCATGTTAAAAGTTAATCCTGCATTTAACACACACCCCTACCCTGTAACACTCCTCCAGATTTGAGTCAGAGGTTCTTCTTTGTGAATGGAGAGAGAAGAAAGGTTAAAACCCAGCCAGGGTCCACATTAACTCTTCAGGGCAGACACAGCCATGGCAGGTGGGATTGAGTCCAAATTTGGAGCAGACGAGTGGGAACAAGCGAGACTAGAAAAGGAGCAGCTCTATGATCATTTTGCCTTCTTTTCCGTCAATGGCTCTGCAGCAATATAGACACACTGTTCTTTTAAAAATAAAAGTGCAGCCACAAGTGCTGGTGGTTTCCTTTATTTATACCAGAAAATCTTTGCTCGTGGAACAAACAAAGAGTGTTTGTCTGACTCCTCTACAACTTCCTGTGCCACAAAACATGTGGAAAGCTCTCTGGAGCACAAAAGGGTAGGGGGTGAAGCTAAAATTACACGCTCCAATCAGAGCAAGTTCATCCCAAACAAAAATCTGTTGCTGCTTGCAAGCACAAAATGGCCAAAGACACAAAATCACCTTTCCTGCTGACCCCAAAGGCTCCAGGAACACTGGTGGAAAAAGGCACCGTGGGACTGTCCTCCTGCAACATAGGCACATCGACGGCTCCTCTTCAGAGAGGATAAACTGAGGTACTGAGAGCAGACCTCCAAGGTCATCCAGCAGGACAGGAGCAGAGCCAAGAAGGTAATGCCAAGAGTCCTAACTTCTTGCTCACTGATGTATTTGCATTGCAGGGTCAGGAATAGCACCAAGGCAATAGCACTGAAGTCTCACTGCTCACACTGCTAGATCAACTTCTCCCCTGCTCCCATCCGCCTTCCTGTGCCAGGGAGTGACACTCCGCTCAACTCATCCCCTCCCCAGGAAGGTAACTGGTCACAACAAATGGCCAGATGAGGATACTGCCTCTTTTCAACCAACAGCAGAGTGACTGGTTACCAAAATAAGCCTCACAGCAGGCTCCATCTTGATCCCTCTGAAGTCACTGAACCTTCTTCTGTTGACTTCAGCAGGAGCAAGGGTCAAGCACAACACATGGCAGCCCGCCAGCAAATCAGAAATTTCGGCCATGCAAAATGGACACCTATCCCAAACAGGCTGCCACAAATCTCTGGCAACGCACTCACAGTCTGTCACACTAATAAAGTTACAGAAATTGAAATCGGGTGCAACAACAACAACAAAAAAAAAAAGAAAAAAAAAAAAAAAAAAAGCCAATCTGGACCCACACTGCTAGAGCCCTCTGCTGACCTCTGGCTGGAATAACGCTGGAGGTCACAGCCCATGGGGGGACCCTTCACCACAGCCACACCAGTGAGGGCTCTGCTCAGCCACGGAGGCAGCAAGGAAAGTGCAGTCAGGATGGCCTTAGAGCAGCTGATGATCACCCAAGCCTGAAGGCTCTGATGTCCACAGTCAGATTGTAATTCGGAATACGCATTCTCCAAAACACCTAAGCTTGTGTTTCCTTCTTGTGGAGACATGGCAGTTACTTTACTGATCACATCCCTATGTGACAGGGCCCTGCTGACACCCACCTTACCATTTTACTCCTAAGAACTGGACTGCCCGCTACCCTGCTGCTGGCCTAAAGGCTGTGGAAGCCAACTGGCTGCAACACGTGGGGCAAGGGACATGCAGGGGGCATCTCCCACTGACCCAGAAGCTGCCCACTCTTCTGGCCCACACACACATCTATCCACAGGCACAAACCAGCGCTGCAGAGGGCTTATTTTGGCCTTGAGGCAGCCAGAGTGACACAAAAGCAGCACGCTTCCCCAGCAGGCCATATCCTTGTCACTGCTGTGCTGCTATAAAGCAGAACCTTTGGGATCAGAGCCCTCTGTACCTCACACCAGAGTAAAAAGGTGTTATTTCTCAAGCCCGACTCTGCACACAGCAATAGCCCGAGCGGGGGCAGGTGGCCCTGTCGGGAGGGCCAGACCCACAGCCTGGTGCTGGGTGCTGCTGGGGCCTTTGTTCAGGATCAGCCCTGGCCGGCCGGGCACCCCTAGCGCCTGCGGCGAAGAGGCAGGCAGTGAAGATGACAAATCCCTTCCTACGGAACTGTGGCGAATTCCTAGGAGGCTGTTCGCAGCTACTCAGCTCTTTGTGTGCGTATATAAATATATATATATATATATATATAAATGAGCGCGCGTGTGTGCCCGAGCGCACGCACGCACTTCTCGCAGTTATGGGAGGCGTGAGGAGGGCTGGGCCGGCCCCGCCGCCCGCCCCGGCTCCAAGGCTGCCCAGCCGCTGCCCCGCGGCCTCCTCGCGCCCAGCACCGCGCGGGGTTTAATGGCGGCGCCCCCACCCCGCGCCCCGCGCCCGCCGCCGCTCCCCGGGAGATGGCGGTGTTGGCCGCCCGGGCCTCCTTCCCCCGAGCCCCCCGCCCCCGATGGAAGCCGCCCCGCGCTTACCTTCATTGGGCTTCCGCTCCCCATCCCCCAGGGCCGGAGCAGCCTTCGACAACTGCGAAGAGAACAGAGAATCGGTCACGACGCGGAGCCGTCACGCCGGGCCGCGGGGAAGGGAGGGTGGGGTTGGGGTCCCGGGCCCGCCGCCACCGGGCAGCCCCGGAGCGAGGCCGTCCCCGGCGGCGGCACAGAGAGACCTTTTGTTCTCCCCGCGGGAGCCGAAAGGAACGAGCGCACCGCAGGGCTGCTGCGGGGCCTGGGCCAGCGGCCGCCCTGCCCGTCTCCTCTATGGCCTCCCCGCCACAGAGCCGAACGGGCAGCGGGGAGGGCCGGGGGGGGGGCGGAAGGGCTGTCGGGCGCCGAAGGGTGCTGCGCCCCTCTCAATGTCACCCACCGCTGTTGGTGGCCACAGAGCTGTCGCTGCCTGGCCCGTGTCAGGCGATGAGCTGCGAGGGCACCGCGTGCTGTGACACCCCACAGCGTCCCTCCTCTCCCTTGTGATAGATACAGGCTGGTGTGACACTTGGCACCGTCACCTAACGGGCCCAGCCTCAGCACTGAACGAGTCCCGAGCTCTGCACTCACTGCCCTGTTGGGACAAGGGGCATTTCCTCAGCGGGATCGGCAGTAGGCAACCCACCCCCAGACTGAGTTGGAGCAGGGTTGCATCACTTTGCTAAGGAAGTGGTTTTTTTAATTCCAGGTGTAACAAAAACTCCACTCTTCCTGCTCCGCGCAAGGGTTGGAGCTCTGACGTAACTTTCCAGCCAAGTCAGGTTTCCCCCTGCTGTTCTGTTCTGTACCAAAACCAAAACGCTCAGGTTTCTTCACTTCTGCAAAGTATGTTGCCACCTGCGTGACGCCATCCACCCCAGAACCTGCTGCATTTCAGCAAGCAGGCACACACAAAATACTGCTTCATCAGCAATCTGCTGTATTTAAGCCTACAAAAAGGTCTTCTGATCTCACAGCTGGAGACAGGGCTGAACGGACCAGGCAAAGTCCACCTCGGGCTCACAACGGGAATTTGCCATCTACAGCCTTCTCAGCAGCCCTGTCCAAAGCCTGGAGTGTCAGCTTTGAAGAGGAGGAGGAAAGCGAGCCGGCAGAGCCCCTCTCTCAGCCATTCCTTTGTGTCTGTGCACAGTTCCCTTTGTTTAAGGTCCCCCTGACCAAACTCCTTGCTTCTCCTTTCTGTTAACGTCCCTCTGTACCTGAGCGTAGCACGCTGGTCCAGGCCTGAGCCACTCCATTGTTATATCCCTGCGAGGAGAGCTTGTGTGCCTAACCTCAGTGCTGTGATAACAGTTTAAAAAGCAGGTTCCTAGGAACAATTTCATCCCTGAAGTGTGAAGGTCACTGCAACAGCGTAAACAAAATGGAGGCAGCAGAGGCTGCAGCGGCCTTCCAGAGCGGCTCAGCGCCTGAAGATCTATGGGTCAGAAGGAAAACCGCTTCAAGGGCAGAAAAGCCTCAATTCACATCATACCACAGGAAAGCAATCACGAGCCAGGTCAGTCTATCCAAGTCACAATGCCCCCAAGACCTTTTGCTGAGGGATTTCTGGTTCACACACCAGGTGACCGTGATGGACTGAGCAGAATTAGCTCTGAGACACCTTGAGGGTCATGCTGTACCTTCTTGGTGTGAGGCTGCTCAGCCTGCTGCCAAGCCCCCTGCCTCCCTGCACGCACACACACACGTGGTGCATGGCGGTTGGGAAGCAGACAGAAGCCACACACTTTCGCTGCTGATCTGCACGTGGCTAGCACCTCTCCCTGCCCAGGGTGTACCAGTGCAGGAGCCAGCCCTCTCCCAGCCATCACCTACACCTGGGTCACAATTCCACCCACAGATGTGAAATGAGATGGATATGGAGCCTGCCAGGAGTGGGGCAACAAGGCTGCTGCGCTCCCTTGGCAGAGCTCAAAGGGGACCTTCTCCGCAGACAGAACTATCACTAACACACAGTTAGCTCACCAGGGCAAGAAACTTCTCTGTCCTTTGGGTACTGCCTTTCACTAACGCTCGCAAAGCCTATCTAACAGCAGATGAGGCGGGGGATTCTGCCTCACTCTAAACCAGGCTGCTGCATATCACAAAGGGCAATGGGAAACCAAAGCATTCCAAGGGACAAACGGGCCTAGAGTGCCCTTCGGTGGGAGCCTGAAGGTCACGCTCTCCTCTGCTGTCTTTTGGAATTACCCAACAGCTCTGTAACACGATTTCTTTCCAATAGATTTTCAGCATGTCACAGAGGTGTGGAAGCAAGCCCTGGGCTCAAGAGCGGGAAGCTCCTTTTTGTGCCCTTTGCAGGTCACAGCAAATACTTGTCCTAAAGCGGGTCAAAACCCTCCTGAAGAAATAATCGTGTTTCACACCTCTGTACCTGCACCTTCCCGTTCTCCCTTTCCTCCCAGTTCCAGTATGGAGCAAGTTATTCTCTAAAGGGAGAGAAAAGGTTAATGACGCTGTTCCTCCCCAGCCATCGCCCCCCTCGCCAACACCACCAGCACTCTTTCTCTCCCTTCCCCTCCCCCTAATCTGTGCAGCCTCATTAAAAGAGCTTTGTAACTGTTTAGGACTGGAACAAACAATCCATCCACTCTAAGAGGGACTCTGGGACAGGAGTTAATGCACTTTTCGTCTTAGGCGCTAGAAATTCTTCTCAGCGGTTTCTACTTAAGCAGAGAGCTCTCGCTGCTCTCCCTCTCCATTGTGCACGCAGCCAGAGGTCGGTAATCCCACAAACGGCCAGCGCAGTGCGGGCACCCTGATACGGAGCAGGACGGACGAGGGATCCCACTTGGGTTGCTCAGGCATCTGTGAGCCCCTCTGTGGTGTCAGCACGGGCTCCCCTGCTCCCACATGAGCACTCCTTCTTCCCCATAAGAGTGCTATGGGGAAGGTGACCGCTGTGCACGGGCAGCTGAGGGGCTGCGGAGCTCCTGGCGCGGCCTGGTGCGGAAGCAGGCTGAAGGCAGCACGGCGGGTGGGTGTGTGATCATTAGCAGTCTGGTCACAGGCGCGCTCTCCCTCCCTGTGTGTCTGAGCGCTGCCTGTTCCCTGTGGCAATACAGCTGGTAGGGCCAGGTCCTTCCACATCTCAGGGAAGGGATAGGTTCCCAGAGCCCCATCGGCAGGGACCTGCCATCACTACAGCTGGACAAAGCCGATGGGGAAGGAGCCGCTGTCCCCCGTATCTCTAGGAAACGGGGACACCACCGCGGCCTCCTGGAGCCCACGGGAGCTCAGTACTGGCGAGCAGCCGGGAGGGTGGCACTGCAAAACCGCCTCTTCCTCCCTCTCTGGCACAGAAGGGCTGTGGCCACACGTGGAGGCAGACACCTGTGGCATCGGCACCGCCCAGCCCACACCGTGACACACTTCCCACCATCCCAGGAGCGAGCGTGCCAACCCCTCGGTGAGGAGCCATCTCTTAGGCAGAGGAGCACTGATCTTCCCGTGTCCCTCCTCCTTCACCCTTGGGAAAGCCGCCGGACACGCGCCTGACCCTGCCTTCCTGCCCAGCCTCTCCACGGCTCTTCTTTAGTCCTTCCCAATGCACCTGACTAGCTAGATAGGTTTTATTCCATATGACAGCCTGATTAACAGCACCGGTAAATACTATTACCAGAGCACAAAATGAAGAGTGGCACTTTCTGCCGTGCCCAGAGCCACCATCAGGGTGCCTACGTGAGACCCACTGGCATTCCCAACATCCCGACCATCACCGTGGCGCCCGAGAGGCCCACAGACAAATAAGGACAGAACCGAAGGACAGACCTTACCGTTCATCCATCCAAGCACTCGCACGGCCCGCATCATCCCACTATCTGTGCATCTCACAGTCTCACGCGGATTTACCCTACAACACCTCCCACCGCTCCACATTTCCCACGCCACACCATAATTTTTCTCCTTTCTTTTCACATCACACCATCCTTCAACCCAGGAGAACAAGCTTTTGCATGGCCCCTGCAGACAGACAGACCCAGACCCTACCTGATCTGCAGCTTCGTCTCCGGGGAAGAGGAAGGGGAGGGGAGAAGGCGCAAGGGGAGGGTTGAAGGGTTTTATCACCGGACACGGACTTGTCTAACCCACAGCCAGGGAAGAGATGCTACTCTCTAAGATTATGGAGGAAGCAGCGGGCAGAGAAGCCCCATCTTAACTGATGATGGAAAAACTCTTGGAGGGTGGAAAGAATTGTCCCATGAGGCAGACGTGGCCGCCAGGCTGCACGGCGCAGCTCTGTGACACGCTCAGATGGGAGCTGAGCCTTGGTTCCCATCCAGCACTGCCCAACGTGCGGCTGTCACCGGGGAAAGTGGAGATATAACAGGCGAGAAACAAAGCGTGCGGAGCCTGCCTCCAGTTCCAGCTGAAATGGCTCCTAATTGGGGAGTTACCTTCCAGCATCCATGCTGAACAAACAATGTGAATAACTGAGCAGCTTGCAGGCGACCTTTATTTTCATGTCTGTGGGAGATGATGTGGCCCATATTCCCTGCAAGAGCAGAGGAGCAGTGCGGGGAGCATTGGCCTCTTACAGCCTTAAACATAATCCATGCCTACCCGGCGCACAGCCACTTTCACGTGGGCACTCTGTCTAAACCCCTTAATATCTCTTGGCAACACAGCCCTCCGGACTCCAGAAACAGATAGATTTATAGGGCAGGTTTGCACACAGCGCTGCCTTTTAGAAACAAAACAGAGAAAGAAAAAGGAGGAAGAGTTGGTCTCTAATCGCTCAGGAATGACAACGAGGCAAAAGTAAAAGTGACCAACGAGGAAGAGAAGGCAAAAACGCGGGGTTTTGTAATCACGGTGCCAGAGATATGTATTTTGGAAAAAAAAAAAAAATCAATCTGGAAAAAAATCAGGATCCATTTTGTCCTCTTTGATCTTTATTTGTTTTTCCAGCGAGGTATTTTGAACTCCGCTCGGCGGCACGAACCCGAGCCGGGACCCAAGGCAAATACGGCCGAACACCCTTTTGCAATGTCAGGAGACCGGGGGACGGGAGGCGAGGCTGATGCAAGAAGGCAGCGCGCTGCCTCCCTGCCCCGCGCCCGGCCCCGCGGCCCCACGGCCACTCCGCGGGGAGCCCCGCGCCGGGGGCGTGCATTGCGCGCACACGTGCGCGGGCACTACGCGCGCGGCTCCCGGCCGCTCGCCCCCCGCCGCAGCCCCGCACACGCACCCGCACACGTGTGTGCGCGCCGCCGGCGCCCGCCCGGCCCCGCTGCCAGCGCGGTGGGCAGGTGGGAGGCAAAGGGAAGGCGGGGGGAGAGGGAGAAGGGACGAAGGGGAAAAGTCCCTCCCGCACAAAGCCCCGTCCCGCCGCCGGCCCCGCCGCTTACCTCCGCGCTCTGCAGATAGAGCAGCGCCGCCAGCCCCCAGTGGATCCAAGTGAGCAGAAAGTTCATGGTTGCCGGCGCACGCCGCGGAGCGGGGCCCGCCGCACTCCGCCTCGCCGCCGCGCCGCCGCTGCCGCCCCGCTGCCGCGCTCTCGCCCGCGCCTCCTCCGCGCCCGCCGCCTCCCGGGCGCTGCGAGGGGCTCCGGGGGAAGGAGGTCTCCTCTTCGGGGTCTCCGCTTTCACCCCTCCATACGGCCGGCTCTCCGCCGGCCCCCGCTGCCGCTCTCGGTGGGCGCTCCGCAGGGCCGAGCGCAGGCTCCGCGGCCGCCCCGCCGCCGCCCGGCCCCCGCCGCCGGGCAATCCGAGCTCCACAGCGGCGCCCGTGCGCGGCCGCTCTCCCGGCGCCGGGGCAGGCAGGCACCCGCGCCGCGCTCGCTCTCGGCTTCGCGCACTCGCCACGAAGTTTGCGCGGAAAGTTTCAATGCATCTCTTTCGCTGCGCCCCCTCTTCGCGGCGAGCCGGGGTCGCCTCCCCCGGGGGAAGGAAGGGGCTGAGCCCGAGCCCGCTCCGCACGTCGGGGTGGCGGTGGCGGAGGGGGCGAGCGGACCGCCTGCCTCCTGCCCTCTCTGCCTCTCTCTCTGCGTCCACCGCTTTGAAAATCGGAATAGTAACAGGAAAAAAAAAAAAAAAAATCCAAACTGGCTAGAGAGGGAGGGAACGGGGCGGGGGGAGGCTCTGCAGGAAAGGGAGGGAAAAAAAAAATCCCAGCGGATCAAAGTATAGGTGGGGAAAAAATAAATTAAACGAGAGGATAAAGCACGGCGGCAAGCCAACAGCAGGTCCCGGTGCCGCGCACGGCTCCTCCCGCGGCGCGCTGTCCCCCGCCGGCGCGGCGTGCGCTCCTCGCCCCCGGCACCGCGGCAGCCGCGCTCCGCGCTCTCCAGCGGCGGCTCCGCGCAGCGCCCGCTCCCCGCGCAGCGCCCGCCCCACCGCCCGCTGCCGGCGCTCTGCAACTGCTCGGCGCGGCCGCGGGGAGAGACGCTCCGGAGAAGTCCCACCCTCCTCCTCGGTCCCCTCCCTCCTCTCCACCCATCCCTGTTACACGCCGGGCGAAACGGCGACGGAGCGCAGGGGGTTGCGGCCCCCTCCGCCGTTCTTCCCGCCCGCCTCGCTCCGGACCGAGGTTCCCGGGGTTCCCGTGCCGCCCCTCTACCCGCGCCGCCTCCCCCCGCCGCCCCGCGGCCGCCGTCGTGCCCCGCCGAGGGATGCGCGTTCGGGTCAAAATTCACCTCGTCCGTGGGAATCGCTCCAAAGTCCAGCGGGGCCGTTTGCGGGGAGGGGGCAGCGAGGGACGTTCGCCGTCCCAGCCTCCGGCCGGCCCCCCGAGGCCTCCGCTTTTCAGATACGGTGATTTCTCGGCACTTATGTGCTAAAGGGGAGGGGGCAACTCGGCTGGGTTTAATCCCCTTTATCCAAAGATAGTCGCTAGGTGGAGGGGCCTGCCTGCACCGAACGCCCGTGGTGTTCCACCGGGCGAACCCATCACGCTTGCTGGGAAGGCGTTTGAAGGGCAAAAAGGCAGCTCCATCTGCGGGGTTACCGCAACATTCCGCGGCCGAGCTCCTTTGCTCATGTCCCCGCAGCGTTGCCCTGCACGTGACATAGCAGCTCCACGCGCGTGTCGGCACGCAGAAATGTCCCTCCTGCCGCCACCCTCCGCAGGGCGGGCACCCGGAGCTGGGGCTGCACGTCGGGGAAGGCACGGTGAAAGACAAGGCCGTATTATCGCTGGGAAGCAGCAGGTATTCCAGCACCGTGCCACAGCTCTGCGATACAGGCGAAGCGTTGGCTCTATAGAGGCACCTGCTGGCTGAGGGGAACAGACGGAGCAAGCAAACAAAAAAAAAAAAAAAAATCAGTCTTTGATTTCGGCAGATCTTAGACCCGTTCTCCACTTTGTTCATATTTAAACACGAATAAAATGTTCTCCTTGGTACGGGGCAGGGAGATGTGCCCATCCCCTGGAAGGCCGGGAGGTGAATGCGGGCTTTGCCCGGCCCCATCAGTTCCAGCCCCAAATGCCCCATGCAGCCTATGGTGCCACGCGTGCGGCCACCCCCTGGGTTTCTCCACCCCTGGGGACAAACCCAGCCTGGAGAAGGACCTAGGCCTTCAGAGACCACTGAGGAGGGGTGGCCTTTGTTCAGGCATTGCAAAAGAATCCTTTCTCATTTGCTCTCTCTTCTCTCTCTTTTTTTTTTTTTTTAGAACTAATTGTTGCAAAGAGTCTCTGAAGAAACAAATATCTGTCCAAAACAACTGGAGTTTCCCGTATTCAGACTGCGATTGCCAAAAAGTGTCCTCCAAGAGATAGGAAGGCTGCATGCATCCCCCAGAAGAGCAGAGGGGATGTTTAGTTGCTGAATGTAATGCCAAATGGGAGATCCTAGGGGCAGGGGCTGCTTCTGGTAATGCCACAGTTCATTGCAAGCAGCTCTGCCTCCCACCAGCCCTCTGCTTGTGGACTGTCAGAAAGCAGATGAGTCTTTATGTGGTAGAAGAGGGTCCTGGGGGCTTTTTTTTGCTCTCCCACTAGGTGAGCAATTTATGAATGAATGTAGTTCTGCTGCAAACAAGCTGCAGTTTGCCCCCTCCCTCTGGAAGGATAAAATCCCCAAAGCTACTGCACTTTGGAAAGTCCCACACAGAAACCCAACAGAAAAGATTAAATCCAGCAGTGCAGAGGGAGAGCCTTACCCCCTTAAAGCTACAATGTACTGTAAATAATGTACAGAACCCAGCTTCTAAAATTACCACTACGGGATTGCTCACGGCATCTTAGGTTTCGTCTGGATCCTGTGATCTTCCCACCTGCCAACATCCTGTTACCAGGAGAGTGGTGCGTGTGAAGGTTGTGCAAATGGTCATGCACTTGCACGAATCCTGGCACGAGCGTGGGCACACATGGGCCTCCCGTGTTAGAGTTACACCGTAATAAATATGGGGACAGGAGATGCTGACATTGCCACAGGATCTGCAGCGCTCACCAAAAAAAGCAAACGCGTGTCTGTGCTGCGCTGCATCGGGAGCCGTGGGATCCTCCTCACATCAACGGCTCCTGAGACAGAAAGGGAGACAGAATCAAGGGGCAGGAGTTTAAATATGGAACACTGAAAAGCAGGAGCTCCCCGTTTAGGCACATCAGTAAGGTGTGTGGTTCGCCGAGAGGCTGAGTGATGGTGCGCTCGAAGCTGTGAGAACTTTGCAGAATGTGACCATCATTGAGGACTCCATCTTGCAGATTGGATTCAGGGGAAGCGTTGGCATGGACTTCAAAGAGCACAAGATCAAGCCCATATTGAGGGGCTCAAAATACAAATGTAGGAGCCTAAATGTAGGCGTCCATTTTTTAATACCTCGTCCCATGCTAGTAATACCCTCTGTCCCATTCCTCTGATCTGAAAAGAGAGGAATGTAGGTAACCTCACCAGCTCTCCTCATAGAACCTGTGGCCAAAAAGGGGGAAATCCAAGAAACACATTCCCCACGCTTTGTTTATTTTCCTCCCCTCTCTCAGGTCCCCAGAATAACAGCCGGAGAGCTGCTCGTGGGGGAGCTCAGCCCCACTTTGAAATTGGAACAGGAAATGTGAGAAATGTGGACGTTAAAAAGCAAATGAAACAAAACAATATTTTCTTAGAACTCCATCTCATGGGCAAGTCTGGGGGGAATCTGGATTTGGATAATCTAAATTAGGAGAGAAGTCAGGGAAACAAAGAGCAGTTTTAAGCAGTTGAGTGCCAGAGCTATTTCTTAACATGCCGCTCACTCTGATTTCAAATACGGTCCCTCGGCGCTCAGCCCAGGAACAGCGCGAGGAAGTGGAAAGAAGGCCGGAATGGAGTGGGCTGCTGGGAGAGGCAGCAAGGTGAGCAGAGCCCAGTGCTTCTAAGGGTATTTTGGGTACTTCCTTCCCTTCAAGAAGCCACAACGATGAGAGAGTGACCACCGGGCTGTGGCCAAGTCAGCGGCATCACCATCACAAGGCAGCAAATCGTTATTGGGATTATTTTTGCTTCAGTTGTGCTGACAGGGAAGGGAGCAGCTGCAGGTATAACAAAAGGTTGCTCTGCCGAGATGCTTTGCCAACGCTCCCTCTGCTGTGGTTTAAATAGAATACATGCAGCGGGCATGGGCAGCACAAGGCTCGCAGTTGTGAGCATTAGAGATGCCCATGCACCACCCACTGGCAGTTTCAATCGCCTCTGTCACTCTGAGTTTGTCCAAAGATCCTCAGCTCCTGGAAAGAAAGAAAGAAAGAAAAATGTTCAAGGGGCAGCACCATTCCTTGTTTTGTCCTCACGAGTTGATTTTGTACTCTGGGTGCTTCTCTCATAGTTCGTAATTGTGTCAGGTTGAGAGGAGTCACTCCCCTTTTTTCACTGTCCATCTTCCTGTCTCTCACTGGATCCTCGTGTGATCCTTTTGCAGCAAGTAGCTGAGGCAATGAGAAGTGGAGGTAACAGGTCAGGTCATCAGCTATCAGCGGCATTGTTTTAGCTTCTACAGAGACATCAAGGGGCCAAAGCAGCTTTTTTCCTGCCTGAAGTACACGTAATGTCACCCTAAGGGACCTCATGTCACCCCAACTTTTACATCTTCATGTAACAGAGCTGGTAGGAATACACACACACAGCAGTTGCATTAGTACTTCACCTTACACTTACATCACAGTCCCAGAAGAAATCTGATGGAGTGGGCCTTACCTATTAAATCATTTCCTAGAGGAAAGGTTTCATTTGGGCTCATTTGTTATCATTTGTCCCAGAATTAATATTCTACACTCACAGCATTGGGTGTGGGTGTTTTTCATGGCTATGGGTAGAAGAACCAAAGGCTGATTTCAGGAAAGCTGTTCTGTTGTTTTAGGTTGGTCACTTGATGTCCATCCCAGGTGCTGGACACATGTTGCTTGCTGAAGGAGGTATGATTTGAACTTGGACTCAGACCTCAACACTTTGGTAACTAGCAAACAAAAATAAAACTGAACAAAAGCGTGCCTATTGCTCTCCTCAAGTCAAGTGGCCATTAATGATATTGGCTTGAACAACAAA